AATTTTTTTACAGGATGGCAGAAAGGACCTTTTCTTTGTACTCTTCGATGTTCCACAAATTTTATGATAAGTACCTACTGTTGGCGATTTAGGAGAGACTGGGGAAAATAAATAGGGAATTTGAGATTTTAGCAAATAGTGAATCACCCTGCCACATTATTTCAATTTATATTTTTGGCCAAGAATCCGTTTGATCGTCGGTAGAGTTTATTTTTTCAACATTTCAAGACTAATTTTCTTTCTAACTTTCAGGTTGAAATTTATTTTCTTTTCACCTTCTATTTTGTTTGCTTTATTTTTATTTGCCAGTACAGTTTTATTTTTTCATTTCATTTTGAGACTCAGTTTGCTCGTCAGTAGAGTCCCTTTTTATATTTTAGGTCAATATTAGGGCTCTTTAGTATTTTTTTTTATCTTCTTGACTGCTAATTCGTTTGCTCGTCAGTAGAGTCTTTTTTTAATCTTTTAGTCCGATATTTGATTTGCTTGTCAGTAGAGTCCTTTCTTTATTTTTTAATCAGATGTTTAAATTGCTCGTCAGTAGAGTCCTTTTTCAATCCTTTAGTCTGATGTTTAAATTGCTTGTCAGCAGAGTCCTTTCTTTATATTCTAGTCTGATATTTAGTTTGCTCGTCAGTAGAGTCCTTTTCCCTTAGATTTCTACAGAAAAATTCAGTTTGCTCGTTAGTAGAGTCCTTTTTCCTTACATTTCTACAGAAAAATTCAGTTTGCTCGTCAGTAGAGTCCTTTTTCTTCAGATTTCTATATTTAGTTTGCTCGTCAGTAGAGTCCTTTATTTATTTTCTAGTCTGATAATCAATTTGCTGGCAGAAAAATTCGAGAAAAAATTGATATATGATTTACATTTATCCACAGCATCACCTAGATTCAAAAAACCTCTGATATTTAGTTATGTTTATATTATTATTCTTTGTGTCAAACATTTTATCGCAAATGAAAGCGATATGATAAAACGTTAAAAATATCAGTACAAGAACTATATTCTTTCATTCAATAATACACCAGTCAAATTAAAGCTAAAAAGGCCTTCAGTTAGGAACAATTCGCATAGAGCTGAAATTTGGTACAGATGTTAAATAGGCCCTTACAAATAAAATGTCAAAAGTCCCCATCGATCCGACATCTGCGATTTTTTTTATTCAAGTGAAAGGTACAAAATTCTAGTTTTTCAAATTTTTCACGAAAACCATGTGGACAAAAGTATTTGTGTATTCAAATTTCGCGCGGGTCTTATCTTTGTAATACAGAGTGAACTTGTGAAGTATACTATGTTACTATACGATTAGGCCACATCCAGCAAATAAATCATATTATATTTTAAATTGTGTTTTGGTTAATGTTATTATTTATTTTCTTTATTACCATAAAATTGGTCCATCTCACGGATAGTTAAAATCAGTGCATATTTAGTAATACTATAACCAAAAATACACATACAAGTTTTATTTTCTTTATTACCACTATGACATATATAAAAAAATATGTTTGACAGATTTGTTTATTATAACATTATCTACAAAAGTATATTCATACATTTTTTTCTTTAGAGTCACCATTTCTGAGTTATTGCCATTTAAAAAGTTAAAAAATCTATCTTCTTCATAATACGCACACATTTACGCACTGTAATATACTATGACGCGCATTTATTCTATAAGACGTTTCGATCCAAAACGTCGATGAAAAAAAAACCGACAAACCTAACTGCAATCTTGATTTAAAAGATCTAGGCTGAACAGCAGCTAAATGGTAATAAATATATCCTGACTAAATATTATTGGTTGTTATCATTATATGTGTGTATTATATTAATGTGTGATTTAATTTCAGTTAGCCAGAGTTGACGTATTTGATCTAAGTGATAAATACTGAGTGAATGTTAAAGTTAAGCATCTAACAAGTAGAATATCTTTATTTAATATATAATTAGAATCATTTAAATCACTCAGAATACACGTTGTTATAGGTTAGGTTGTTTGTATAGAAGAGGACACACGAAGCTAATTTATGATAATATCACATTTCTTTGTCATACCAACATACGACGCTCAACCGAGAATGAACAAAGTGTAACAACATTGAAAGACAAAAAACCTATGTGCGTCAAACAAAACTGTCAAACAAAAAAACAAAACTGTCAAACGTCAAAATAGTACACCCATTGTTATATTGTCTCTCACCTCTCACATTTAGACACCTTTTAGACAGTTAAATAGAAATCCCAATTGTAAGTATATAATTATTTACGAAAGCGGTTCTTTTACATTTACATGGTCATACATTGTCTCTTCACAACCAATATTATTTCAGGGAACCAAACATATAGTTATTCAAAACCTAGTACAGTTTTGTTAGAAATTATTAGGAAATTTTTAATTAGGGCTTCGCAGAGTGTCTTAGTATAGTTATTTTATTTACCCAGGTAAATGTTATTCAGGTTGTTTTTGTTTGCTTAGTGTGTTTTATTTCTATTGTAGGGTTCACTGAATTAATATTAGGACTTCAGCCTGAACATCAAAATAGCTACAAGAGTCTTGTAGCATGTAACATCTGATTATTAGAACTTAACTCATATGTATGCATGTATATATGTATATATATATATATATGTATATATATATATATATATATATATATATATATATATATATGTCAGTGTGTTTAAGTCTTGTGTAGTCGTAACATCTACAAATATCTTCCAAAAAAATCGAGTGTTTTTAACAAAAAAATATTAGTGATATGGATATATAAATTATTACAGAATAAACCTGATGATGGAACGTACCTAGTTCCGAAACGTCGTATTAAACATCTTCAAAAAACAAATTGTTTTTTATTATTGGATTTACTGTTCGGAAAAGAAACAATCAATATATATATATATATTAAAGGCTAGCATATGTATAGTAATGTAATAAACTTAAATTCAGTCCGATATTGTTGCCTATTTTTATCTTTAAGTGATCTGATTACTTTTTCTAACAATGATTAACATAGGTAATAAGAAACACAATTAAAACCATCTATTTCATCAAATATTTTTATTCAAAATATATACACATAGGTACTATTTACAATATAAAGCATGTCACAGGAAACATGTAATAAATAATATAGAATTAATATAAATAATATAGAATAAATATAAATAAGATAGAATAAATATAAATAATATAGAATAAATATAAACATTGAAATTAAAGATAAAAAAGAGAGAAGAATTGCATTTTGAAGAAATGATTAGCCAAACCAAAGTTAAACCGAACAATAAATGAAAACTGAATTTTAAAATTTAAATGGAAGTATGGACAGAAACCTTGTTATATAACTTCCACCAACCGAAAAACCGTATTTTTTGTAGAAATGCTATCTTTCACCACACGGAAAATATATTAACATAAATATGCTTAGATTAATCAATATCTTTCATCACCCGAAAAAAGTCTTATTTCAATACTTATCTTTCACCACTAATGTATTATATTCAAGTACTTATCATAGAGAAACATGTTTATACAATTGATATCTCTCACCAGTATATTCTTTACATTAACTTATCAATATTTTCATCAAATTATTGTAAAAATACATATTCACAAACACACACATCCTCTATATATATAAATGAAATAGCTACATTATATTTGCAAACGTCATAAAGTCCATATTGATATATTGCCATCATGAAACAAGACTAAATGAGAATATGGCGTTATTATAATATTTCTTCACCATTCTCCAAAATAAAATAGACTATAAATTATGGTCAAATATATGTAGCATTTCAAATATGCTTATCGCCTAAAGTCACAATAATTTGATAAGTAACATTTGTCCACAATTAATCGTTTGTTATTACAGTTCACAAAAAGAGGAGGTGAAATATGAGACTCTGTATTTTTGCACATGCTAATAATTAGCAAAGTAATGGTTAATCATAAAGAATAACAAAAATATTGAAAATAATATTTATAATCATCTATAAATAATATATATAGATAATAGAACTAGAGAATAGAATAGAAATTTATAATAGAACACAAATAAATAAAATAAATAATATAAATAAATAAAATAAATAATGGAAAACAAAAGCCAACTTTTAACATATTGTGAATGAATATATTAAATATTGGAAAAAGATTTGAATTATTATACTGAAGTATACAGGTTTTATACTATATTATATATTAAGGGCATCAATAATTACCAGGAAAGATATACGAAACATCAAATGCAAAGCTGTGATACCATATACTACATATCTAGACAAGAACGATAAAACCAGTGTTGAGAAATGGTTTGAGAACAATAAAACTAGCAACATTTACAAAATTTTATTTTACAAAAAGCCAGGCCTACAAGATGATATATTAGAAGAAGACGATGTTTTAGTGGTTATAATGACAAAATATGTATCCATGGAACGCATGGTACCAATCGATGAGTTTGGTGCAGGCTATTCTGTTGCATTTTGCTTTTCCAACCCGCAAGATGAAACCATATTCAAGTAAATACATGACGCAGTGGGAAAAGTTATTACTACTACTTTTATGTCTGACGACGCGCCCTAACAGACAACCACTTGCTTTGTACATGGCATGTCTCAAGAAGCTGGAAGGGGGCTCTAAAGGCTAAAATTAACTAGTTGGTATTGGTATTTTGCCTTGAGGCAAGTTACATGAACATCCCGATATGTGTAAATAATCGACTTAATAAAAAATTAATTTATAAGTGATTAAAAGTATTCCGAGTAGATTTATTACACATAATTGAAAACGAACGAACATGTTAACTTGGATTATTTTCTCTATTATATATATATATATATATATATATATATATATATATATATATATAATATAGTATATTTATTATGGGCATATTGTTTCAGGAGAAGTTTAGGAATTAATACAAACGTGTTTCTTGAAAGCTATCATAACAAATTAAAGAGCAAGATTCTAGGACATAAATACTGCAGGCGTCTGGCCAGAACCATTGACGGTGTTTCAAAAGTTGAAAGAGATGCATTCCATCAGAGAAACCTAAGAGACAAGTGAGGATAAGTCATGTAAAAAGTTTTAAAATCGTACCTAGTAATATAAGAAAACAAATAGAACATAAAGAATGGCGAGTTCAGTCTACTGAAGATGTTAATGCACATTATAAAGTTTCAAAAACCTGCACATGCGTGAATTATTTAATAAGAACCAACATTTGTAAGCATGTCCATGCATGTGCAAGAATCTTTCCAGCAAACACCGGATTGGATAATCGCATTTTGGAAAGGGAAATGCTTCTAAAATCAAACCAATTCAGAAGCCTAAACGATATCAACAGGATATCCTGCACCAAACTCATCGATTACAAGTAAAGTATGCAGATGGAATCCATATGCATTGGTACCATGCGTTCCATCGATACATATTTTGTCATGACCAAATTCGTTTAAAATTTGAGCCTGCACCGTGGTCATTATAACCACTAAAACATCGTCTTCTTCTAATATATCATCTTGTAGGCCTGGCTTTTTGTAAAATAAAATTTTGTAAATGTTGCTAGTTTTATTGTTCTCAAACCATTTCTCAACACTGGTTTTATCGTTCTTGTCTAGATATGTAGTATATGGTATCACAGCTTTGCATTTGATGTTTCGTATATCTTTCCTGGTAATTAATGATGCCCTTAATGGTAAATGTCCTTCATATGCTGCATTTCTAATATTTTCCAAGATTATGTCATCTGAAATTCCTGCTATAACTTGATCTATAAAAAAAATTGTAGAGTTATTAATAAAACAAAAATGTATTTAGTTTTATAATCATACAAGTCAATTAAAAATTTACCCTTGATATGTTCTTTCAGGCTCTTATCTAACGAAATAAATTTTATATCTTGACTGTGTCCCACATGTGTCTTCCAAAATTCAACATGAACTGTTCCATTGTGATTAATAGTACAACTAATCCTTGATGGGCAAGCATATCCGGTTTTGTTGCTCGTTTTAGTAAACAAGCATACAGTGGGTTTTTGGTCATATGTATATGACCTGTGGCAATCGAAATAAATTGTCTTGTCATCAGTTTTTGATTTATATCCTGAATTGCATTTTACATAATGCGAAAACTCCTTCCGCTCTATGTCCGCTTTCCACAATTCAAAAACTACAAAGTCAAAAATGTAGGTAATTGTGTAATTAGGGTTATAAATTATGAGAGAGAAGACTTCAAACCTTTAATGTTTTGAAACACAAACTGTTCATAATCAATTGTAGTTTTGTGATAAAACTCAATATGATCGTATAAACCTGTGTACCTAGAAAAAACAGAGGAGCAGGGAGGGAGTGGACATTTTATTCTGGATTTCCTTGATGGTGTACCTACAAAAATGATTTATATGTAACACAATAATAAATAAAATGAATGTACATATATAAAAGCACTACATACCTATAAAATTTTCCTTAGTACTGATTGGGGAACTGGGAATGGGAGGCGTGTGAATTTGAACTTTAGTAGAGGAAGTACAAGGATGTGGCGATAAACTTACGTGGGAATGTTTGTGAAGACGATCTGATATGGAAGGAGCAGAGGTAAAAGATGAGCAAGCAGAAAGTGGATATCTTAGTTTCTCTTTTGTTGATGGTGTACCTACAAAAATGATTTATATGTAACACAATAATAAATAAAATGAATGTACATATATAAAAGCACTACATACCTGTAAAATTTTCTTTAGTACTGATTGGGGAACTGGGAATGGGAGGCGTGTGAATTTGAACTTTAATAGAGGAAGTGCAAGTATGCGGCGATAAATTTACGTGGGGATGTTTGTGAAGAGGATCTGATGTGGGTGAAAGTAAATTGTAAGGTGATGTCAAACAAGTAGTATATGAGGTGGGTAAAGAAGGATGCTTTATATTTGTTTTAGTGGAGGAGGAAAGGTGCGTAATGTCTTCAAAAGATACCGAAGAAGATTGGGCAGGTGAAGGGTTAGGGATATTATTATGAACTTGGCTCACATGACGAGTTAATAAATATTTAAATTTAAAAGTTTGAAGGCAGAAAGCACATGCATAGGGATAAACAGCTCTTGGCTCTTTGTCATGTTTTTGTCTCATGTGGCGATACAAGGAGCTACGAGCTGTGAATGGAATCTGACACTCGGTACAGAAAAAGTCGCTGTCCATGTTGCCACATAAGTAAAGTAATAAAGTGAAATATAAAATAAAAGTAATGAAGGTAATAAAACGTATCGTAATAAATGTAAAGAAAATTAGAAGCGAAAAAGTAAATATATAAAGTGAGTATCTAAATGATATTAATTCTAAACTAAATATAAACTTAAATGAGCAAAATCTAAAAATAAACTTATAAAATAGAATGTAACGTAATGTAAATGAGCAAAATCTAAAAATAAGCTTATAAAATAGAATGTAACCTAAAGTGAAATAAAAGTAAGTAATGTAAATGAGCAAAATCTAAAAATAAGCTTATAAAATAGAATGTAACCTAAAGTGAAATAAAAGTAAGTATCTAAATAGTAAAAATATGAAAGGAAAAAAAAACTTACGCAAGCTAAGTAAAAATCTAAAAAAACACTTAACTAAACTAAAAAGAAACTTACGCAATCTAAGTAAAAAATCCTAAAAAACACTTATTGTAACTATGAAATATGAAAAATAAGCATGAATTATAATAAGAAGCTTACTAGAGCAAAAAAAGCAACGCAAGGAAAGCGATCCAGAGCAAAAAAAACGAAAAACCGAACCGAAATATGTGAAAAAAACTGTTATAAATAAACAAATAAAAAAAAAGAATAGAATTAGAAATAGCAACAGAACGAAAGAATTCTAATTACACGAAAAGAAAAAGCAGAAAATATAATAAAACGCTTACTTGAAACGAAACCGACGCGACGCACAAAAATGAGAAAAGAACGCGGGACTAAATATTCCACGAAATGACAGTTTATACCATAGATAAAAGAAGAGTATATGGGTTATGCTCTATCCCGGAGCCAACTTCAGAGCGTAGGTGTTTTTTGAAACGTCAAAACCTATCTGTCATGTATCAGAATTTAGTGGCTCCTGAAGAGGACATATATTTTGTACAAAGCATAGTCGAAACCTATGCGCAAGATGCACGCTTTGCCCGGT